GTATCTGTTGAGATAGTCACACGCGTTTCCGTGTAAAGATAGACTATGAATGCCGGGTGCCCATCCTCCATAACAACTGATCACTGGTGGCAACTTGAAAGTGGCTTAAATTAGCCTTAAGTTAACTTCGAGGGTGCATGCATTCCAGGTCAACTGCCGACCATCCTCAAATAAGTGGTACGGTAGAACGTTTTCGCAGACAGTCGACAGCTGGATGACCTTACCCAAGTTGATGAAGACAAGAAGAGCTGGTTCAAATCTAAGCTGGTTGACGTTGCAAATCAATGCCTCATTTCTCCAGTGTCATATTCCAAAATCCTTTCTGATGAGCATCAAAGAGCATTGAAAGCTCTCAAGAATAATGACAGAATTGTTATATTGCGACCTGACAAAGGCTCAGGAGTGGTGCTGATGGATAAAGAGGACTACTTTGCAAAGATGAAAGCTGTGTTAAATGACCCGTTGAGGTTCAAAGTTGACAATTGCCAGAAAGATGAGACTCATGCAGTCGAAAAACGTATCAAAAACGCACTGAGAGATCTTCTAAAGAAGAAATTGATTGACAACAATACGTACAATGATTCGAAGCCCCGAGGGTCCCGCTTGCCACACATGTATGGCGTTCCGAAGATACACAAAAAACAAGTCCCCCTGAGACCCATACTTTCGATGATCAACTCGCCCCAACATAAGGTGGCACGTTGGCTTGCAGAGAAGCTGGAACCTATTCGTCAACGGCTAGGCGTGCAGACTATGAAGGACTCATTTCATTTCTCGGAAAGTGTGAACCACATGAACGTTTTAAATAAGTTCATGGTGTCATTTGATGTAGCCTTCTTGTTCACAATGATTCCAATCAACGAAACTATAGAGATTATTTGTCAGCAGTCTGATCTTCTCCCACTCCCAGAGTCGGAATTCAAACGGCTACTGCTTATGTGTACCATGGATGTGCGATTCCAATTTGACAACACTCTTTACCGCCAAATAGATGGTGTAGTTTTGGGCAGTCCACTTAGCCCTGTTTAAGCAGATATATTCATGTCCAACCTTGAACGAACAAAGTTGAAGCATGCAATCGACGAAACAACCTCCTACTGTCGATATGTTGATGACACATTTATAGTGTGCAACAATCAAAGTCATGCTTCACACTTACTCAGATTATTCAATTATGCACACACCAATATCAAGTTTACCATGGAACATGAAAGTGACGGAAAATTCCACTTCCTCGACATTGCCATGGAACGCCTAGAAGACAGTAGTCTTCAAAAGTCAATTTATCGAAAGCCTACATGGAAAAGGCAACATTTACATTTCAATAGCTTTTGTCCAGATAGCTTTAAACGCGGTCTAGTCAAGTTTCTGTACTATAGAGCGAAGAGAATATGCTCTATAGAGAAATTAGAGGAATAATTTGAGTTTCTTGAAAAGATATTGAAGAGCAATGGGTAACCTCAAAGGTTCATCAACAAGTATGGAAGATCTGAAGTCGCAAATGAAAAACAAATCACAGTAAGAAAAAAGCCAATCTACATTCAGCTTGATTATAAAGGTGAAAACATTGCATTGATGATCAACAGAAGGCTGAGTACATCACTAGCTATAGCCTATCCTGCAGCAAAGCTCGTTCCCGCCTATCGAACAACTTGCTCTTTGATGCAGTCAAACATCGATAGATATCCTTCTCATGTTAACTCCAACTGTATATACAAATTTACATGTATCTGCGGGAGCAGTTACATCGGAAGAACAGAAAGAAGGGCATATCTACGATTTTCTGAACATGTACCAAAAAGCCTACGTCTAAAGGGAACAAGTTCTTTAAACAGTGCCATCGCCAGGCATCTCCTTGACACGGGTCATGAGGTGGAAGTCGAGAAATCCTTTAAAAGTATCAATAGACAAAGGAGCTCCGTTCTCCTCAAGTTTGCCGAAGCAATTTCTATCAAACGCTTCAAACCAGATTTATGTGTTCAGAAAGAAGCAGCTGTTAGTCTTTCGTTGCCATGGTAACTGCATGTCTTTATTCTCTACTCTGATTACGTAATCTTTGTCTTTAACCTCACCCCTCTATTTTATAATCTGTAATATTGCTTGTCTCTTGTTCCTATGAGGTGATTTGTACTCAGTACATCGTTACCAAATTTATTAGTTACTCATCATCTTACTCACCCCTCGTCTTTATTACGTAACCCATTTACCATTGTATGCATATATTTATTTTGTCTAAACTTGAACTACCTGTGTGAAAACTATCTAAGCACAATTTTCTGAACACTTTTCAATAATTGTGTAACTTTCTGTCAGCTGACAACATGCAAAATTTGCAAGTATGTTAAAACTTTTCTGTACGTAGAACTGACAATTTATTTGGGCTGTAAGCAGCTGAAGAGAAGCCGACGAAATAAATGATGGTACCATATTGTTAATATATATACAGGTGAATCATTAATATTCATTATTTATTTCACACACTAGCATAATCATTGATTTCACGCATCTGCGTGATTATTGATTTAAATTGCTGAATTCCCAGGGTTTGTTAATATTTTTAAAATGTGACATTGATTTTTCTAATTGTATAAATACGGAGTTGTTGTTTAACATTTTCGACTGTTGTTTGAGACAGTAAAAGCTCTCATATCAACGTCCAATCTTCTCTTTTATTTGTCTGCGTGCCCGGCGGTATTATTGTTGTTGTTGTTGACGTGCGGTTAAGACAGATTAGCCAGCGCATTAGTTAGATTCGCTCGTAGTCTACAAGGTCCTCATATTCACATACATAACAATTGTTCTGCACAAACCGCTGTTATTCTTGCTTTATTTAAGTTCATCAGGGGGAATAAATGCATGAAGATAGCTGGATTGTCAAACCAAGCACTGTAAATCCGAGGGAGTCAATAACAATAATCCTCCTTGACACGCGAAACAGTGATGGTTGAACCACTGTTGAGTTGGAACAGCTCTATGACTGCCAGGCGAGTCTGTTTCACACCCCAGTTTCCACACTCCGTGCATCGTGCCTTGTACTTCAACCAGCTCATGAACACCACGCATTCCGTTGAGCCTGCTCCCCTCCAAACACAGTTCATAGAAGCTTTACTCATGACTAAAAGCTTCTTCATATGTGCCTGTTCATCGTGACTCTAGAAGTCATCCATAACAGCGTGGAAGAATTCTTCGTTCTAGACAGATCGTCTAAAACCGGCTTACCTAGAGAAAAAAATCCACCAACCATGGGCCAATCGTTCCAAATGATACACAGCTGACTGAATACGCGATAGTACACGAAGACGTAACTATCACATCAAAAGTAACAGAAAGCCTGAACGAGACATGGCGGAAAGCACGTAGTGCACGAACCGTGGCGTCCCTGGGGTACCTTCAGATTGATCTTACAGAGTAAGAGTAAGTGCCTCACTTTCCTCAAAAGGTTAAGGTGGGGTAATAGTCTACCCGGATATTGTGAGACGGCAGTTCGGTAATTGATTGCGGTTAGCATTTCGGCCTAAGCGATGACTCTGTAGTCTGCATTAATGAAAGCCCGCAAGAGACAGAGGAATGCATTCCTAGAGACTTTTGAAAAAAGTGTAGAAGTTTAGAATTCTAGAATTTTTGGGGGGCTACGAAATCTGGGATATTTAATTTTTGTTTAGGCACCGTCCTCTTGTATGATATCTTACCAGGTCTATTTTACAGTCACTTAAGTAAGTTATTCACGAGTGTTTGTATCTTATGCCATTTAAATTACCACCATTCGGCTTGCAACAGGGCGAAGCAACAACTAAAACCATATCTACTCCGTTTTAACCAGTTGGTGTAAAGTGTCCATGATCTTCAACATCCAGGTGAGAACGTCTACGTGCATAGTTGTCTTTATTTATTCTCAGCCTTCCCTTATAAGTCACATTTGTGCCACTTGAGGAGAGTCTTCCGGGTAGCCAAACAAGTAGCTTCTAGAGAAGTCGAAAGATACTTGTTTGTACGCTCCATGAATGTAAGTCCACCTTTGGGCTTTTTCCGCAATGCGTATCTGTATTTTATGGAGTGGTCCTTCCTCGTGGGCAAGACTTACTGTTCCACTGCATCACCTGGCAACTTCCCTGCAGTTGGCGGAGAACCTGGAGTGATTGTACTGTAGGTGAAGAAAATAGGATAAAATTGCGATAAAGTAAGGATAAGCAGTCACTTTCCATTTTCACTTATTCAATTAAGCTTGATATATATGTATCAGCTCAGTTGTTAATGATTACCATGGAGTGTAAATGTGTTGTGATACCCACAAATTACGTTAATGTTTTCATCCCAGTGCCTCTCACATCGACCAGCTGGGTTTTCGCTGTTTTTGACGCAATTTAAGTTCAGTCATCTGAAGCCTGTGTAAATCCTAGGTAAAAAGGTTAACCCGACTAGCTTTGAAGAGGAATACCCACAAAGAATCTCCTTGTATTGTTCTCGTGACTGGGACACACTAACACATATCGTGTTGTCTAGAGTAAGTGAACAACGCCTGGGAGAAATAAAGGTGATAAAGGAATTGGTTTAATTAACTTTTGAATAAAAATTCCAGAAATGATGAAACGGAAAACAGTTGAAATCAGTTAGTCAATTAGTTGACAGAGTAACAATGGTTTCAGTTAACCCGAGGTCATTGTTGAATGCACGATGTTTCAAGTCTACTCAGTCTAACCTTCTACTGATGAGCTGAAGGAGAGTTGACTGAAGTCTTGAGGATGATGGCACATTTCCTATGCACTAGACTCGTCTTTGTAGCGGTTATTAACCTCGGAGTATACACTATATATTATTGTTATTTTTATCGGTTGCTCGAGATGTCCTGCACTGCTAATATAATGATTCAAGGATATAAGATTTATAGCTTGGTTGGTAAGGCAAAGTCTTCCCGAGCTTCATCACAAGGAAAGAAATCCGATTTATGCCAGCAGGCATAATGTAATGGAGATAGGATATTGAACGTTTGAAATGAATGGGCTCTTCGACAATTGCGTTACTGTGGGTCTTTGAATAAAGGTCACGTATTCATACAAAATTATTACCCTGTTATCGTGACAAAAACAAACTGATGGCTACCACAAAAAATCCACAGCAGTTTCTTGCATTCAAAATTTGAGTCTAGTCGTTACGAACGTTCATATAATATCAATTCCTATGTAAGACTAGTTATAACCTTTGAGAAATATTTTTAGTTTTTCGTGAAATGCTTCAGATGTCCGACTTATTGACTCATCATACAGCATCAGATTCAGATGATATTGGGGATGAAGTTATTAGGACAATGTTTATGGTTGCTAATAAACTTGAAGAGTCCATGAGGCTGGCGTATAATTCGTGTGAATATACTCCTTACGATTCGCCAGCTGAACATTCTTCTCTAAATGGAGAGGCATTTTATCCCGAATCAGGTGAATTGCCCGAATCAAAATATGAGTAAGTCTATATAAAATACAATTTCAATTGTTCTTTTAAAAGTCTGTTAACTTCTCTTTATCTACAGGAAACATTGATAGCTACTTGTATATTTTTGCTCTCCATAATAACTATACTCCTTTGAGTTTTTTATATTGGAAAAATTAAATAACGTGTGTGTTTGGCGTAAGAATTTCACTATCGCTGAAGTGTTTGAATTGCAAATATTAAATGACTCGAAATTGTGGTAACATTTATGTTTACAGACTGACTCATTAGGCTTACTAAATGAAAATAAAAAGGTGTGATTTTGTCAGCAATTTAATGCGAAGTCCTCTGGTTAGATAGTCGCTATACCCATTCCACTTTGGGATGGTTCATATCACCGTTTTGTGCTTAGAATTTCGCTAAATGCCACATATAGGACAAAGTTTGAACATATTTCAACTTGATAATCACGGCGTAGCATGTGGGATTTTTTAATTATCTCAACCATTCGGAAGGGAAGTCTGTTCTAGTTTATATATACTGTTTCTGTTTTCATTCTTATTATTTGCAAATGTTTATACGCATAGTCTCTTAAGCAAAGAAGCGTGAATGATAAACGACATAACCTAGACTCATATTTCATGTCAACCTATCACTAATGACTACCTTAGATCTGTTTTTTGCAGTCATTGTAAAGACTAATTCGACAATGCATATATATTCCGTGAAGTATCAAAGAACAAGTGAGTTGCAGATTTCGACGTTAATTTGACTCAGAAGGATGTGCTAAATTGAAATAAAACGTGTTATTATTGTTTGGTGTTAGTGACGTTGCATACAGCGGATCCTTGTGTAAAATTCGTGCACATTTATATAAGATTTGTATGTTGTGATTCACTCTAACCCATAGCTGAATATTAACATGTTTCTATGATTCCATGATGCTTACAATTTTAAACTGTTATGTTGGTAGACTCCTGTTGTCTGAGAAATCGTCTTAATTTATCCAACTTAATTTATAGAACCAGATACTTTTTAACTAAAATTGAAAAAGTAAAAAACAAGTACAAGCAAATTTTATTGGTCCTCAGAGCTGTAGTAAGCGATCCAAATAGCCGTCAATGGATACGCATTATTTGAACCCCCCTCTACTAAATTATTATCGTATTAAGAGTAATGTGGGGGATTTGAATCATCTGGTAATCGGTCTAGAAGTATTTTTTTTATTACAGCTTGATTCCACACCGTTGTTTATTTTTTGATACAAGTATGGAATTTTCACTCTGTGATATCGGTAGCCCAAATTTTGCAGGCCGACCATTGACATCAGGTGTGCGTCGGCAGGGGATCGAACCCCGGACCATGTGCATGGTCGGCGAGAGTCCTAACCACTGTGCCACCGACGCACAAATTGCCATGCTTCCATCTTCCCGTGGAGATGCCTGGTACCGAACCCGGGGTCTCTCGCATGCAAAGCGAGCGCTCTACCACTGAGCTACACCCCCAAAGTTGCTATGTCGCTGCCAGGTTTATGGAAAATGATTGTTTCTTATCCTGTCTACCATCTTGGATTTCTCTCATAAGTAGTGTATGGAAAACTCTATTTCTCCTTTTTGTCATTCTTATTAGACACAACGAATACATACACCCACATATACAGTATGAAGACGAATTTGATTTGGATTCACGTACTTCGTATATGGATATGAAAACAACTCCATGTAGTCAAACTACCGAAAATAATGGTTCACCTGGCAGCAGTAAGTGAATATGTTAATCTTTATACATATTTAGTATATTATTTATGCATCAACCATGTCTAAGACTTAAAGCATTTTTCATGACTTATCCATATTCGATTTCATATACTAAATCGGTTGCTGGAAGCACTATCAAGCTTGTAACACTTCTCCTTGTTGAAGCAATAATTCCTGTTGACAAACAAACAAAAATTTCAGCGATAGGTCTCTTTCTAAAAGGAATTCTTATGTGTATAACTTAGACAACGTGGTTGAATGTTGCACAGTGTGATACAGTATCACTTGCTGGATGACCTTTCGAACACTGTTGGTCATCATGGGAGCATTTGCCACAATATCCAATAAACAAATTAACAAGGAATAGAAATTTTCCCTTTTCACCTGGTGATTTTCAAACCATGCACTCAGCTCATCTTCATATGCTTGTATCTCAGCACCATATGTCTAGTGACTATTATTATTATTATTGTTTCCTTTAGTTCCTAGAGGAACATAGGGCTTCAGCCACGCGTCTGCATTGCGTTCAGTTCTCTGCTAGAGTCTTGACATGGCTCCAAGTCTGCCCACACTTTTTCATCTCCTCTTCACATGACCTCCTCCAAGTTACCCTTGCACTGACGACCAACTCGCCACTTCCCTTTCGCGTTGCACTCGAGCAATGGCTTGTCTAGTGATGTCACTTGATGGTTTCCTCAGAGTATGTCCAATCCATCTCCATTTCTTCCTGCCTATTTGTTTCACAATCGGTTCCTGGTTGGTTCGCTCCCAGAGATCTCTGTTGCTGATCTTTTCTGGCCGGCCACCTGATCTTGAGTATTGAGCGAAGACAACTGTTAATGAAGGTCTGTAGTTTGTTTGATGCGCCAAGTGTCTGATGCGTATAGTAGCACTGACTTCACATTGGAGTTGAAAATACGGATCTTATTTTTGATTCTGAGTGCTGTTGATTTCCACACAGACTTGAGAGTAGTGAAAGCTTGTCTTGCTTTTCCGATTCTTCTTTTGATATCCTCGTCAGTTCCGCCTGTAGTTGAAACGATGCTTCCCAGGTAGGTAAAAGAGGTTGTTTCTTTCAGGTTCCTCCCATTTATGCTGATCGTTGTCTGTTGTTGTTCTTGTCCAGGAATCTTCATCACCTCTGTTTTCTCTATGTTCACCTGAAGTCCTATCTTTGATGCTTCTTCTATCGTCAACTTGTTGCTTTTCTCTTGCATATCTTCTAGTTTGTGGGAAATCAGATATATATCATCGGCGAAGTCCAGATCCTGGTGACTATAGCTCAGTTTAACTCTATGAATATGTAGGCGCTTTATCCATCATCCAGTGTTTCTTGGAAAAATGAATTTCTATGACTTTGTTCTGATCACCATTATTCGTTCGTCATTTTGAGAACACAACTAGCTGTTGTAAGCTTTTTAAAACATCTGTTTGTTTATTGTTGTGAACAGCAATTAACTGTACCCATCATCATCGCTTCACTTGTGAATTCAGTTGTGGTTCTGTTATCTGACAGTCAAACAAACAGTCTCATTCAGACATGGTGGTGGGAAGCACCTTGTTTGACTGGCTAACATTTGATTAGCGGATATATGATATTCATTTAAGTGGTATTTGAAGTTGAGACTATGACAGTATGACGTAAAATGTGGGTTTTGACAAAGCATATGTGTACTTTTACAAAACGCGGGTGAAAGATAAGGCTTCAAACTTGAGCTTCGAATCTTCAGTAGTGGCGGTGGTGTTTAGCTTTATGAAGCTTACTGCCGGCTAAACAAAGTCTAGCAGTGCGTTGTTTGGGGGATCGAACGTGAACCGCGTCAGTGGTTGGTATGCAGTGTACCACTTAGCCACCTACCCATGTTACACGTAGCTGTTTTGGGGGGAAATAAATCACTTGAAATATTTATCAAATTATAGGTTGTTCTATTGTTCAGTAGAAGAGTCACAGAAAAAAGTAATCATTGGAAATTGTGTACTTTTTAAAACTTTATGACTAGTTATCCGTATTGTTCATGCTATAATATTACCTTACAGGAAATTCATTGTTTGAATGTTGTGAATGTGATCGTCGCTTTAAATCGAAAAGTGTTCTCCGGAGGCATGTTAGAGTTGTGCATGAAGGTAAGGATTTTTTTACATTGCTTATTTTTTTTCAAGTATTGGTTTTGTAGGGATTTTTTGTTTGATTGGTTGGAGGATTTCATCATGAGCTGACATCAGCTAGAGAACCACTGGAAAACCTGGGAGTACTGGACAGCTGTTTCGTCCTAGTTTGGGACTCCTCATCAGTACGCACCCACCGGGGTTCGAACCCAGGACCTTCTAGTTACAAGGCGAGCTCGTAGACCATTGAGCCATCAGGACCCGATCCAATGGTTCTTGCATACACTTAAATCCTTTTACTTGAAATGTATTCATGTTATTCAAGTATTTTTTCACTTTGAGTTCTTGGATTTCGTCACTAAATCAATACATGAGTTAGAGATACCATTGAAAACCAAAGAGTACTGGACAACTGTGTTTCATCCTATTTCCTGGTTGTTCATCAGTTCACGCATTCATCGACCTCACCAGGGATTGAACGCAGTACCTTCAGGTTATGAAACCAAGCTGATTGATCATTTACCCACTTGTGTTGGAATTCAGTGAATCTTGTCAATCGATGATATAGAGCTAGCTTTAACAGTGCTTTCGATGAGTACCCACTTTTCCTTGACATTGTAAACTCCACTGGTCACGACCCATCCCATAACCGTCAAAAGAACTGGAGATTATAGGATTTGTGTGGATTTGGATTAGTTTAATTTCAATTATTAGATGTCACAATCCAACTATATGTATGGTCTCATATAATTTGTGGCTTGGCTAGGCTTCTATCTTGCGTTAGTTGTTTCCAGCGGTAGAACACACCAACTGTGCATGTTGTTCGGGGTTCGATCCTCGGTCGACGCATTCCTAAACCATGCTTAGCCGGTGTAGCAACAGAAGGTAAGACACGGAAGCCAAGATATGTATTTTCAAGTTATATATAGTTTTATTTTCTTTAACCAATCACTGAGCGTGTGATTCCGGCTTACATTAAACGACATAAAATAGATTTTTCAAATACATATATAGTATTCTGTTGCTAATGCAGTATTGAGCTGTGGGAAAAGTACTTTTTCTCTAACCTCAAACAGAATCGTCAAATATATATAGCATTCTCTCAGTATTATCGAATTTTTTATTTATAATATCCGGACTTATTATTAGTGATATTATCTCAATATATGCCTCCACCTGTTTCATTTCACACATTCGTTATTTCATTATGAACCTCCCATTTCAGTCTTACTATCTCCTGTTTGATACATACCACTTTGTACTAGCCACTCACCCCTGACACCTTTTATAACCTTGAACTGACTTGTCAATTTTCCTACCCTACACTCTACAAAATCTATAATGATTAATCACCACCATTGTCTCCCGTTTTACAATATTTTGTAATTGATTTCGAATCGTGGAAAATACCCATTGGAACATTAGGTTGAGAAGAATAAGAAGTTCAGCACAGATATCTTTCCGGCGATTTCATTTTCAAAAGCTGTACAATCGCATTTAAATACATAATTTCACATGGAGACAATTCTTGTTTATTTCTACATAATTATGACGGCGAATAAAAGGTGATAATTATTTCAAACTAGATATGGCTTTACGAAACAAAATTACGCAGGATTAGAACGCATATCAAGTGTGTAAAAATGAGCATGGATACAAAATTGAAATAATAATTTTCAACTTGAGATGGGAATCAGGAGGTGCGAATATAGATTACAAGAGCCTTAGAAATTATACAGGGTTACAACGAATTACAGGTGTATAGAAGATGAGCATGGAAACAAAATTGAAATAATAATTTTCAACTTGAGATGGGAATCAGGAGGTGCGAATATAGATTACAAGAGCCTTAGAAACAAAATTACATGGGATTTAGCAAATTACAGGTATGCAGAAAGTGAGCATGGAAACAAAATTGATATAATAGTTTTAACTTATAATGGAAGTTAGGAGGTGTGAATATAGATTACAAGAGCCTTAGAAACACAAAAAAATTGCACATGATTAAGATATAATTGCAAATTTTTTTTAAAACGGATTATAAATGTGAACAGGGAAAGCATGGAAACAAACTTAAAATAACTGTTTTTTTTATAACTGGAAAAAAAATGGGGTGAATCGAATGAAGACTGAGGGAGTAAGAATCACACACATAGCGAACGAAAAGGGATCAAAACAACAAAAGAAGAAAAAACAAAAACGGAAGCTACGGTAACTAAGTCCATGGTAGTTGTAGAGGTTGGACTAATTTCTTTTGGACACACAGCTCCGGCTTCTCGATGCATATTGCGAGGGCTTCTGCAGTACAGAGAAGTCGGAAACAAACTGCTTTCGGTAGGTTCCTGTTGACTTTGTAAATTACTTTGAATGAATCAGTTGAGATGTTGTGGGAGGTATTGATCAGATGCTCAATAATGGCACTTCTGATTGAACCGGTGCCTCCTCTTTGCAGCCATGCTGGGTAATGTTCTCTAACACCTTTTGAAAGGACGCACATACAACGACCTATGTACCTAGCTCTGCACGAGCAGGTGAACTGGTAAATGCACATTGAATTGGCCATATGCGACAGTTTGTCCTTCCCATTGCTCCGAAGAAGTGGGCGGCTAGAGAATGTCACTCTTAGAGTTGCTGCCGGAAAAGTCTTCTTCAGGGATTTGGAGATTCTCCTTTTAAGGATATCTGCTGCCAGGTCTCCCCTGAATTCCAGATTCAGAAATGTATTCTTCTCTTTTTGGCCTTGGTTTCGTGTTCTTCTCCACGAAACGCGGCGGGTATCCGTTTTGAATCAGGATGCTTTTTAGGAATAGGAGCTCTTCTTCTAAACAGTCATCACTACAGATTCTTCTGGTGCGGTGAGCTAGTGAGATGATGAGAGCTCTTTTACGGCTGATAGGTATCCAACTGTAGAAGTTTGTCAGCTGGCCATTACATGTTGGTTTTCTATGGATAGATTTTTTCAGAGTTCCGTCGTCTCTTCTTGTCAATTCGACGTCCAAGAATGGAATCTTTGATTTATTTTCAACTTCCATTGTGAATTTAATTGAAGGATGACAGTTATTAAACTCCTGTAAGATGCAATTCAAATCGGAATCGTCTTGACAAACTATAAAAGTGTCATCGACGTATGTTTTGTACAGCAGCAATTTGTTAATTGTTGGTTTAAGGATGCCGTTTTCCATGCTGGCCATGAAGCAGTCTGCTAGGAGTGGGCCAAGGGGAGAGCCTGTAGCAATCCCGCCTTTCTGTTTATAGATGACGTCGTTGAACTTAAATTGTACGGTGAGTGTGCATCTTAATAACAACTCTTTTAGGTATGAGGTTGGTATTCCGATACTCAGGTTTTTGTCATCAATATACTTGCAAAGGAAACAAATCGTGTCTGTGAGCGGCACATTCGTAAACAGAGATTCCACGTCACTGGACCAAGGCCAAAAAGAGAAGAATACATTTCAGTGCAAAAGAAGACACTCTATCTGAATCTGGAATTCAGGGGAGACCTGGCAGCAGATATCCTTAAAAGGAGAATCTCCAAATCCCTGAAGAAGACTTTTCCGGCAGCAACTCTAAGAGTGACATTCTCTAGCCGCCCACTTCTTCGGAGCAATGGGAAGGACAAACTGTCGCATATGGCCAATTCAATGTGCATTTACCAGTTCACCTGCTCGTGCAGAGCTAGGTACATAGGTCGTTGTATGTGCGTCCTTTCAAAAGGTGTTAGAGAACATTACCCAGCATGGCTGCAAAGAGGAGGCACCGGTTCAATCAGAAGTGCCATTATTGAGCATCTGATCAATACCTCCCACAACATCTCAACTGATTCATTCAAAGTAATTTACAAAGTCAACAGGAACCTACCGAAAGCAGTTTGTTTCCGACTTCTCTGTACTGCAGAAGCCCTCGCAATATGCATCGAGAAGCCGGAGCTGTGTGTCCAAAAGAAATTAGTCCAACCTCTACAACTACCATGGACTTAGTTACCGTAGCTTCCGTTTTTGTTTTTTCTTCTTTTGTTGTTTTGATCCCTTTTCGTTCGCTATGTGTGTGATTCTTACTCCCTCAGTCTTCATTCGATTCACCCCATTTTTTTTCCAGTTATAAAAAAAACAGTTATTTTAAGTTTGTTTCCATGCTTTCCCTGTTCACATTTATAATCCGTTTTAAAAAAAATTTGCAATTATATCTTAATCATGTGCAATTTTTTTGTGTTTCTAAGGCTCTTGTAATCTATATTCACACCTCCTAACTTCCATTATAAGTTAAAACTATTATATCAATTTTGTTTCCATGCTCACTTTCTGCATACCTGTAATTTGCTAAATCCCATGTAATTTTGTTTCTAAGGCTCTTGTAATCTATATTCGCACCTCCTGATTCCCATCTCAAGTTGAAAATTATTATTTCAATTTTGTTTCCATGCTCATCTTCTATACACCTGTAATTCGTTGTAACCCTGTATAATTTCTAAGGCTCTTGTAATCTATATTCGCACCTCCTGATTCCCATCTCAAGTTGAAAATTATTATTTCAATTTTGTATCCATGCTCATTTTTACACACTTGATATGCGTTCTAATCCTGCGTAATTTTGTTTCGTAAAGCCATATCTAGTTTGAAATAATTATCACCTTTTATTCGCCGTCATAATTATGTAGAAATAAACAAGAATTGTCTCCATGTGAAATTATGTATTTAAATGCGATTGTACAGTTTTTGAAAATGAAATCGCCGGAAAGATATCTGTGCTGAACTTCTTATTCTTCCCAACCTAATTGATTTCAGCCCACAGCATGTTTGTCACAGAAAAACGATTATTTATTTTGACACCCCTTAACTACTAATCTGTTATTCTACGTTAAAAATGCATCCACCGCATAACTGGCTGTCACTTTTGTAACGACAACAGTTATATTATATTTTATAAATTTAAGGACCTGAAGACGAGAAATTATTGAACAGAATATTCTTCGTTCAGATTGACTTTTAATTCATGGCATATGGGAATATTCCACACTATCA